ATGTTTATAAAAACTAACTTACTTCTGATTTTCTTAAATATCAATCAATATTTTATATTTGAGCAAATTTTTAGATATTAAATTGATTATTAGAAAGAAATTCTACCAAATTAAATATTTGAAATCTAATTAAAACAAACAAGCATTACAATAAATAATTAACATTTATATTATTAATTTCTAATAAATTTTTTTAATTTTTAAGAAAATTTTAAACTTACTTTTTAATTTATTCTAACAATTTGTTTGAAAATTAAAAATTTAATAAATTCTTAATTTTTTAAAAAAATGATATTTATTTTAATGAGAAATTTGCCAATTTATATTTTAAGAAGAAATTTAATAGTATTATATTTTTTTTTTTTAAATATTCATTAGTTTATTTCCTATTTCTGTGAATGCTGGAATGAATACCAAGCTCTTTTATTCTACTTATAATCTATTTTATCTACTTATTTGTTTAAAGTTTGTAACATGCATATAATTATAACTTTTGACATTTTGATAATGCTGGTAGATAGATCCTAAATAAGTCAAATTTTAATCACGAAAATTCCTAGCATTTATAAAAAAAATAGATATTTTGTATAATAGATTTTAAAAATGAAATTAGCTAAATAAATTAAATAATTAGAAAGTAAAAAACTTGAAATAAATTCAGATTATAAAAAACAAATAAATATCTTTGAAATTTTATAAGCATAAAAAGCTCATAAAAATAAAAAATTTGAATTTGATGAATGAAAGAAAAAAGTAATGAAAATATATAGATTGATTGATTGATTACAGTAGATAAAAAACATACATACATACATAAATATATTAAAAATAAATAATAATTTATGTAGGGGTATAGATAGATCTGATTGTTGGTTGCACAAACTAATAAATAAATAAATCTATTTATTTAAGATATTTAGATGAATATTATTAGTTTGCTCAAATATTGAAGTTTTTTATTCAATCTTTCGTTATTGGATTTCTAACAAATGATTTTAATATTCTTTAAATTTTGAGTGATAAATTTAGATTTTTATAATAACATAATTGAAGATTTTCATTCATTATTATATTCTTCTAGACTAAATGAATAATAAACCTTTATTTATTAATGTACTAATCTTTTTATTTTAAGCACTGTCTACTTAAACTTTTCTATATAACTCTAATTTTTTTAACTATATCTATTTATTTATATATAAAAAAAATTAAAACTAATAAGTAAATATCAAATATTTTATTTCAAACATAAATTTTTTTAATTTATTTATTTATTTTTTCTGTAAATTTAAAAAAAAAAAATTAATTACTCTATCCGAAGTTTCAAATTTGTGAGTTTTTTCATTTTTGATATTTCTTAAATGAAATATATTCTTACTTTGCCACTTGCTTTGTTTTGTCTATTAAATTAATAAAATGTTAAAAATAATAAATATTTATCATAAACGGTTTAATTTTCATAAAACTTTTTCAAATCTTATTTTTAAATTTAAAAAGGAATAAATAAATAAATAATTTGAAATTTTTTTATTTGTTTAGAAATAAATGGTTACTTAATTAACTAAATATTTTATAGATTTCAATTAAAATAAATAAATTAATTTACTATAAGTCAATTTCTAAAGAAGAAAGTTGATTGCATTTAGCTAATCCTTAAGCTATATCTAGCATTCCCTAATCACCAATTTAATTGCAACTTTAAATATTATTATTGATTTTAAAATTAAAAAAAGCAGATAAGAATAATAAGTAAAAAAATAGGTATTCTGCGCCATTTAAATGAGTATGCAAATTAAAAATTACTAAAAAAAAAAATTACTATAAGTTAAGAGTTAAGCATTAGAGTTTTTAATATCTTGCTAATCCATAACCTAAGTCTTTTGCAGCTTGATCATTTATCAAGCTCTAACTTTTTAATATTAATTTAATAAACACAGTTTTCAAATATAAAGAAAACATTTTTTTAAGAATAAAAATAATTAAAGAAATCGTAGAAACAAAATAAATAAATTCATTAATTAATTGAGCTAAAACAGACTCAGCTAAAAATTTATAGATAAAAATTCTGAATAATTTGAACTTTAATTAAAGTTTTAAGTAAATAAATAAATAAATTAAATTTACCTTAAATTAATTTGAAAATGTGAGTACTTATCTAACTAATTAAAACCAAAGAATGTATCATTTTGGGATATTAATAATTAGCAAAAGCTTTTATATTAAATTAAATATGTTTACTATTTAAATAAATTATAATATTTAAAAACAAACTAAAAGTTTTAATTTTTTCAGATTCCAAAAAAAACTTTTGACTCTATGTTAGTTAGTTAAATAAGAAGAAATTAATTTAGAAATATTTCAAACTAAATTTTCTTATTTGAAATAAATCAATCATTCATTTAAAAATCGATTGATCGATGATTCAAGATAGATTTCAAATATTTATAAATTTAAAATTTATTCTAGCTTTTAAAAATATTAAAATATATGTTTTTATTCATTCAAATTCAACATTCCTAATAAAGGAGTCATAATGAAAAGTAAACTATTTACCATAATCTTAGATACAAAGTATATTCATTGTTGTAAAATCCTAATGATGGTTTTTTAGAGCTATTATTAAATTTTATTAAATATTATTATTTATAAATTATAATCAAAAGAATAAATTTAATCATTCTATCTATCAAAAAAGCAATTTTATTTAACCAATCAAAAATTAATACTATTTTTATTCATAATTTGATAGATTTGTTTTAATCATATTTAAATTAAATAAAAGTAGCTAGCTAGATAAATATCTCTATCTATCTATTTATCTACCTACCTACCTACTTACTTACATATCTAACAAACTTAATTTACCTGAGTGAAAAACTTTAATATTTGGCTAGATTTCCTAAACTATAAAGATTTTAAGGATTATTAACATTTGCTTTATTAGAACTGTAAATAAAAGGTTATTATTTAATATAATAATTAAATAAAAAAATAAATATTAAAAAGAATATTTTAAAAATTAATTTACAAATTTTATTTAAAAAAAATTGTAGATTAAAGAATATATTAATTTAGATTAGATAAATAAAGCAACTAAAAAAAATCACCCAAATTCAATATCAATCCAAGATAGTTTCCTGCAATTGTTTAATTCATATCCAAAAGCTTATACTCCCTCTTAAGTAATAAAGTCAGATCTTCATTTTAATTAATTAAATAATAAATTTAAAAATAATTAGCATAAAATTAATTAAAATAGTTATTGATTGATTTAAGAAGCTAAAAATTTATTTTATTTATTTATTTATTTATTTTTTAAGCTGTTATAAAAGAAGTAATTTAATTTACATTATAAAAATTGATAATCTAGTTAATTTAAAACATTTAGTTATAGATTAGCCTAAATTCACTACACCTGAATCACTTATTTTATTGCCGCTTTTATCAAATAAATAAAATTGATAATTTTTAAAAATATTTATTTTAATTTATTTATTAATAAATTTTTATTAACATAAAAATAAATAATTAATTTATATTTTAGAACTCAGAGAATGAAGAATTTGAAGGCTTTTTATTATAAAGTGGATATTAACATATTAATTATCACTTGGATTTTTAACTGGAAGTAATTTACCTTTTACATATCTTTATAAAAACTTAATTCTGATTTTGTTAATATCAATTTTTTATTTTAGAGCAAATTTATTAGTATTATATTGATTATAAGAAAGAAATTCTACCAAATTAAATATTTGAAATCTAATTAAAACAAGCAAGCAAGCAAGCATTCCAATAATTAGCATTTATATTACTATTTTCTAATAAATTTTATTCGTTTTTAAGAAAAAATCAAATTTTTTAATTTATTCTAACAATTTGTTTGAAAATAAATTAAAATTTTTAAGAAATTCTTTGTTTTATAAAAAAATGTGATTTATTGATTAAATTATTTTTTGAATGAGCTATTTGCTAATTTAAATTTTAACAAGAAATTTAATAGTATTATATTTATTTTAATTAAATATTCATTGGTTTATTTGTTATTTCTGTGAATGAAGGAATGAATGAATACCTAACTCTTTTAATATATTTTATCTCTTTTATCTATTAAAGTTCTTAACATTTTGTCAAAAAAGTATTTTTTTATGGAAAATGATTATTTATTTTAATGAATTTAAAATGGATATTTGTTTTATAAAAATAAGAATAATTAAAAAAATTATGCAAAAAATATTTATATTCTCTAATCTAACTAAGATTTAGGATTTTTGTATATAAATGTTATTTATTAATAAATCTAATTTATTTATGTTATTAAAAATTATAAAACTTAAGATAAATAGCTAATTTTAATTTTTATAATCAATCATCTATTGTTTTTACTTTTTTAATAATTTTTATCTATTTTTTTTCTTCCTTTTTATTATAAATAGCTTAATTATATGAAATTTATTTAGTTTATCATTCATTTAAAAATAAAAATAAAAAAATTTACTCTATTTTAAATTCAAAGTTTTAAGTTTTTGAGCTAATGGCATTTTTTTATTTCAGGAAAAATGTTTAAATGTATTTTTCATCAATTATTTTATTTTATTTTTAAGTAAATTGAGTGCATTAATAAATTTTAAATAAAAACTTATTCTAATTTTTCTTAAATAAAGATTGAATATTTTTTAAGTTTGTTTTTTTAAATTAATAATAAAGAAATTAAAAACATTAATATGATATTTATTTTACATGTTTAATATTTTAAAGTTTCTGCTTTTTTTTGCTTAAATGATTGATAAATTTTTTAATATTTTAATTAACAAAAGAATACACATATTTATTTTATATTTAAAGTAATAAAGTAGGTTTACAGGATAAATTTATTTAAAATCATATGCTAACCTTAATTTAAAACATAAATATTTACTCTTTTGCTTTAAAATGTTGTTTTAAGTAAAACCATTTATAAAGCAGATTAATTTTCTTTAACGCATTTTCCTTAGCTACTATTTATTAATTTATTAGTACTATTTTTCGATATTATTATTATTTTTATTCATAAAAAACCTCTGTTAAATGGATGGATTGATTTTGAGTTCTGATGGCCTTAAAGGATTTATTTTTTTATTGAAGTTTTAAAATTTTGGGGTCTTATTAGGGTTTTAATAGGAGAATTTTAGAGTCAATATTAATTAATTAATTTTTGAAAAATAATGTAAAAAAATTAGAAAAATGAAAATATAATTTTAAATTAAATTTTAATAAAATTTTCCCATGGTATAAATAAGCCAAAAAATTTTATATTTTATTGAGTTCGCATTCTCACTCACTCACTCACTATCCTTTATATCCAATCTATAGGTCCTACTATATTTTTAAGTACACATTTTAAATAGAAATGTTAAGATTTAATAATCAAAGAAAGTTATTGTTCTTTTTATTTACTAAAAATTAATTAAATTTTCATTAATTGCTATTCAATATTTTGGAAAAAAAATAAAGGATGTAATAGATTAAATATTATAAAAAGTTAGAAGAAGTAATTATTTATTTTTTTATTAACATACTTTCAATTTATTTTTACTAATATAAAAAGATTTTAAACTCTTCGCTTTAATCTTATTAGGTTCTCCATATTGATCTTAGGTATAATTAATTTATAGATATTATTATTATTATTAATATTTACTTTTTATTTAATGTTTAGTTTATTAAAAATATTATTTTTCAAATAGAAATTATCACCAATATTCATTCATTCATTCATCCAAACATTATTTAAAAATTATTTTTTTAATTTTATTCACTTTAAATTTTTTAAATTCATTTAAAAATTTTTTTATTCATTTTATATTATTTTTATTAATTTTTTCCTTCTAAGACTTTAATTTGATAAAAACAGTTTATTTATTTTGGATTATGAAATTTCTATTTATAAAAATGAATTTAAAACTATTAAACTCTTTATAAGCTAGCTTTTTATTAGATTTAATCTTTTTATTTTTTATTTTACTTGTGTTTGTCTTTCTTCTATCTTTCTAAATAACTTATTAATTATATAATTTTCTTCAATATTTAAAAAGTTACAATAGCATTGGTGATAAAGGTACTTCAGGCTTATTTTCTGCTATAGCAAGTTGCACTAATCTCTCAAATTTGATACTTAATCTATCGTAAATACAGTTTATTCGTTTTGGATTGTGATTTTTCTATTTATAAAAATAAATTTAAAACAATTAAACTCTTTTAATTTGTTTATTAGCTTTTTACTAGATTTATTAATCTTTTTCTTTTTTAATTTACTTATGTTTTTCTTTCTTCTATCTTTCTAAATAATTTATTAATTATATAATTTTCTTTAATATTTAAAAAGCTACAATTCAATTCGTGATTAAGATACTTCACTCTTAG